GCTCCGGGTATTTCCTTGCATCGCTATGGTCTCTCCATTTTGCTAATAGGGCAAAAATTGAATTTTCCCATGCATGGTATCTAGCTGCTTGTTCCCTCTGGATACTACAACCTAGAGCATTATAAGATGTCCTAAGTGTTGTGCCAGAGCTCTTTGCTTTCATTGCTCAAAAGAAAAGGGTTGTTGAGATGTTTGGTTTCTTCAAAATCCAAGTCTCAGAATGGGTGAGATTGTTTGGTCTGATAATTAGCTTCCTTTCAAAGGAAGGAGTATGGTTTGCTTGCTTGACACAGCAACTTTCTCCTCAGCTAGAGCCAAGCACAGTGTTGTACTAAATTCAGTGATGACATGCAGACTGGGAAGAAACCTAAAAAGATGACTGTTACTCCCAACACAATCAGCAGTTTGTTACAGAATGGTGAAAAAAAGAAAAGGAAAAAAAGTAATTTGTATTGTGAAAATTACTTACCTTCATATCATCAGAAATGTTAGGAGGCTTTTGTTTGCATTAATTTTTGGCATTTAAAGGACTATTCCAGTTGGAAGGGACCGCTGAAGTTTCCCCAGTCAAATCCTCACTTAAAGCTGGGCTAATTTTGCAGATTGCTCAGGATACTGTATTTTTGTAATCCTGAACGGTATTTAAAAGCTCATGAAAACTTTTGGGGGGCATGTCTTCTAAAAAATAATCAGGTCAACTTGTTTGGGATATGCAAGTTGTGACAAAGCTCTGAAAGCTCAATATGGAATGTCTTAGGAAAGTTGGGAGTGGGAAAAAAGGGAATAACAAACAATGGTCAAAGCCATTTTAGACTAGAGTATATGTGCTAATGCAGTCCAGTTTGTGAGACTGCCCACTACGTGTTTCCATTTGTGCTCATCTGTATTCTTAGGAAAAGTGTGTAAGTAAATCTGTGCACCACACAGTTTTATTGTCAACTTGACAATACAGACTTTCCAGAGTGGTTTTTTTTTTTTTTTTTTTTTTTTTTTTTTAACATAGCTGCAATGGCTCCTGTTTACACTGCTAAAATAAATGTTTAAGGATAGTTGTCCTCTTAAGACAATCTTTTCTCTGCTTGTGGGTGGGAGGCAAGTGAGACATCTAGAAAACTATGTTTTAACTGTTTTTTCTGATACAAAGTAAAGACCATCAACTGGCACTTAAAACAGGATTGAGACTAAGCTGGTTTAAATTCTGGTTAGCTGAGTACTAACAGACCATAAAATAACTCACCATTATTTTGGAGATCTCTTGTGGTCACCACTAAAACATACAAAAAAAGATGTTTTTCCTTTTTTTCTTTGGCCTCCGTTCTCTGTGAAGAGAAGTGCTTGTTCCCATCTGGAGGTTTTAGCAGAGTTGAGAGTTTGTAGATCTGATAGTTCCAGAGAAAATGATGGTACTTAGTGAAAGAATGTTGCCACTAAAACAGGAAACCAAGCATAGAAACACTGGGTTAATTCACCAGCTTCTATACTGAAACTTTTTTTCTAACTTTGTACATTGTGATGGCTTTTGTTTCCAGAATTGTTTTGGCATGTAGTGGGCGAGGATGGGTGTGGGGGGGCCTTAGAAGTAGGGTACGCTGAAACAGAGAAAATATCACTTGTAAAAATGCACAGTTCTACAGAAAAGCATAGTTTAGCATGCAGATCTTAGTTCTGTGCTGTGCTCCTACCTTCAGAAAAGCTTTTTGTAATTCCCTGTACCCACCTACCGTGTGTACAGCTTAAAAAATAAAAGCTGAATGGTTAAGATACCTTTCAAAGCCCCGTGGGGCAGATTGGCCAGCTGTGCTTTTGTAACCGCCGCAGGGTGACTGTGGCAGCTATTGCTCAAAGACGCTGAGAGCCAAATCCTGGTCGAAAGGCAAAAAAGGATCCAGAGCTGGAATCCTGCCTAATCCTGCCCACTCGCCACCCGTGACGTTGCAGTTAGATCTCTCTCCTGCCTGCACTCGCATTCAGGGCGAGATAGAGGTGGCGAGCTTGGTGCTTGTGCAGGATGCAGGGGTTCTGGTGAGTGCGTGCACCGAAATGGGGAAGGCTGACGGGATGGTCTGTTCTGTCTTCTCGGCGTGGATTGTGGTTTATGGCATGCTTTGTTTTAGCTTCTTATTCTGGGTTGTTGTTTTATGTTTAAAAACTGAGAGTTTGATCACAGGACAGTAGTGTTTTTATTTTAAGGTGTAGTGAAGGATTGTGAAGCTATTTTGAGATTCAGATTTCCTTCATCAACAGCCGCTAAACATAAAGAAAGCTGCTATTTGTAAGTGCTCATTTGTTTTCCATTTAGTCTCTTCATTTGGGGGTCAATGCCATAGATGTGTCAGGCAGGACTCCTTGGCCTGTCCTGTCAGTAAATGTTTTAATAATCCTGGCTGCTGTTTCCCATGAGTATTTTTCGAAGTGGCTTGCTATGGTGTTTGCTTATTAGCAGGGGAGGAATTTCAGTATCACCATTTAGAGCTGCTTTTTCATTTCCCTATTTAAACAGCAAAGGATTGGCATACTTGTATAGGTTTGGTTATTTTTTAGTCACTGAGTGGAGACCAAAGAGTTCAACTAAAGAGGTGTGTTGAATAAGCTTAATGATCTCCTCTCTGTCAACTCGACTGAGCTGGAAGCTGGCTTTTATCTATGCTAATAATGGTAGCAACAATAATAATGCTAATTAAAAAAAAAAAAAAAAGCAATGTGAGAACTACTCATTAATCAGTTTTTACAAATTTAGCAATATTTTTGTACAAAAATGACATGCACAAGGGATTAATACTTTTTTACACACACCCCCCCCAAATAAGAATTAAAAGAAAAATTATTCTTGACCAGGCAAGATTCAAATGCAAAGAAAAGTTGGATAATCAGACTCTGTGAGGGAGCAGGACTACAACCTTTGGGTATGCGGCAGATTTTAAGTCTTAACACAAGGATATTGCTGCATTACAGCAATACATTTTGAGTTAAATTTTGGTCATTCCAAGGCTGGGGTCAGGATGATCTCTGATGTGAGTCAGAGGCAGATATCAAGAAATTGTCATTACAGTATGACTTTGAGAAGCAGATATGGTCAAGGAAGGTTTCCCTTTGTTAGAAATAAGTGGTGAAATGCGGTAGGATCTGTTCTCTTATCTTCATTATGTCTGTGTAAACTGGCCTTGTTTCCTTCTTGGCATCATGGACTACTTACTTTTCTAGATACTGTGATAACTATCTTCCTTGAAACCAAGTGTGAGAAATAATTTAGCACAAAACCAGATTCCAATTCAATTTACACTTTATTAAAGGAACAAAGGCAGCAAACAGCGCTGGGTGCACCGGGAGTCTCTGCTCGACCAAGACGCAACCACATAGTCCCTGTCCCGGCTTTTATTGTCCCTGCCATGCCCCGGTTTTTTTGTCCCCTGCCAATACAGATCCAGTAACAGGGGGATGTGTAAATTAATTCCAAAAATAGGTAGGCATGTTCTTTTCACCTCTTGGGGTCGTCTTCGCTCCCCCCTGGTGGTCGCTGGATGCAGTCAGTAATCTTCCTCGGCTCACCGTCTAGAGGACCCCAGGCTCCAGGGATGCCTTTACAAACTCCCCTTTGTTTAACATTAATTGGCCATTAACAGATTCAGTGCAAGCCAGCACATCAACAGCCAAGGGACAGCAAACAAAGAACCAGAACTACTCACCCTGCTTTTTCTCCAGGCCCGTAGCTATGCAAAACCAACAGAACCACCCCTCACCATGGCCCCCAATGGGATTTTATTTTGACACGAATCAAGTGAATATATTTCACACCAAGTATGCTGGTAAAAGAACAAAGAAAAAAATTTTTTTTTTCAAAATATTTTCTAGCTATTTCTGCAGACAGTTTTAGTATAGTAGGAGCTAGTTTTAAGGCTGGAAATGGATTTTCTCCCAGAAAATTCTGGGCACAAAAGCAAGGAGTTACTCCTTGTTTTTACTTTCTGAATTCTGGCAACATAAGTGTATACAGATAGTAGTGTTTACCAAATCAGTCTATAAGGGAGTAGGATTTTGCAGATGGCTGTGGAAAAAATTTGATTCTCCATATTGTGTAACACTGTGTTTGGATGACCGCAAATCTGCAGCCCTTTGTAACATACAAATGTTGTGATGTAAGGGTACAGTGACTTGTTATGCTGCTAAAATTCCAGGGACTCTTATCTTGGTAACAACAAGTAGTGTTTGCACTTAGAGAGTTGATCATGCATATATAATGGCTTCCCTTCCAATGTTATCAGTTCTCACTGATGGGTGTGAGTTTAAGCTGTTTGTTCTTAATGTTTCTGTTTAGCAAGAGTGGAAATTTATTAGCATGTAGAAGATGCTATCCGGGGCACGTTTGTAATGTTGGATCACAGTGTCTAATAAAACAGTTGCAAGTCTCCATATTTTCTCTCTGCAGGCATGACTGATGAGCTCTAATTTTGCCTTGGTGCCTGCTTCGGTTCTAGTGTGTAAAGAACAGGAAAGGTTACCAGTTATGGTGAACAAGATACAGATTTTTTTAAAAAGTCTTCTGTGGTGTGTTTATAGAGTTCACTGTTTAATATAGATTTGTAGGGAGAAAAAAAAATATCTACACACACCTATTTTTTGAAAGAAACCACTGTCTTACTATAGTAATTTAAGTTACTGGCAAACATAGAGGTAATTTTTTTTTTAGAGGCTCTTTATTGCACATATATACTTCAAGCATTTTTCTCCACATTGCATTTGAGCAGTTCAAGCATGAATGTTTTTGTTAGTCTGGTAGCAGAAAAAGGTAAGAATATCTTGGCAATATTTTTGATGTGTCAGGCACAGAACTGGATATAATCTAGATCTTATAAAACCTGGTTCAGCACATTAATCGATATACATCACCAGTCAAGCCAAAAACACCTGTGTGAGCTTTTAGTTGTTATTGTGATACACTTCCTCCTTGCCTGGCAGCATTGATGTCCAATGTTAGAGCTGCTTTCTTATTTCTCTTTCCAGAAATGTCCTTCCTGCCTGACTTTGGGATCTTCTCCATGGGCATGTGGTCAGTTGGTCTTGGAGCCATTGGTGCAGCTGTGACAGGAATTGTTCTTGCTAACACTGACTTATTTTTGTCCAAGCCAGAAAAGGCTACACTGGAGTTTTTAGAGGAGGTAGAGCTAAAAACTTTGGGACCAGGTAAGATTTTGTATGTTTAAGCCCACCTTTGTAAGGTCAGGGTTGGAAGAATTTTTCTTAGTCTTTCCTAGTTAACACCTGTAGTTAGTTGCACAGCCTTGACGGCTGATCATTCTGGTGAAGGAAAAGGAACCACACGAGGTATTTCTAGATGAAACATGACACAGTTCTAAAAATAAATAAATCAATAATACCCTGTTATGCATATAGATTTGATTTTTTTCCTGATAGAACTGTATTTGAATGTGGAACCCTCAGCAGTACTTTATGTTGGTCCTTAAAGCATTAATCATTATAGACAAGAATGGCTGATGTTATTGTTGATACTTTTTCTCCTGTAAACAGAAGAAAGAACATTCAAAGCAGGTGAACTATGGAAGAAGAATGGTGCAGTGATCATGGCTGTACGAAGACCTGGATGATTTTTGTGCAGAGAGGTACTTGCTGGGTTTGGGGATTAATTGGGAAGAGTTGAGCTCTACTTGCATAGATTCCTTTTAAATAAAAGAGGGATAGTGGGTCTGTGTGAATAAGGTAGTCATCAAATACATCTGAACTATCTGAAAGGTCTTGCTTCCTAGCCTAAACTGGTTGCCAGCTAGCAGCATACTTAGTTTTCTTTGTACCTGGTTTGTATAGTCCAAGTCCTGAGCATCTTCCTTCTGAAGGCAATGGTTACATGGTTTTTATATCTGTTGGGGACCTAGCCTGTGGTAATTACAGAGATAACTCTTAAGACATTACTAGTTCGTGTTAGTTCTATTCTGTATGTAGAAAAAAATGTCTGTGAGCCAGGTAGTCTCTGGTCAAAAGCAGCCCAAGACTGAACTGGCTGAAAGACAGCAGATAAAGCTCATCAGCAAAAAAGATGTGCATAAAGGGGAATCCTTCACTATTCTGGATGCTGAATGTGGGGCAGGAATGTGAGGAGTCTGAAAACAAGGAGTTCCTGTTCTGTAACAAGATGGGTTGGGAAACAAAATTTGATCCATAAGTTGGCTTTAGGCTCCTGGGGTGGAGGTGGGCATAGGCCCTTAAAATACAATTGGAATGTACCCTGGGCCTGGGAGCAGCCAGAACTTGCACCTTGGCCATTATTTTTCTCATAGCTATGGGAAGATACAGCTATTATGTTGTTACTCACTACTTTATAGGGTGGAGTAATTTATACTGCAGCCACTTAATTAAGGGATCTGCTCCCATTAGTAGTAACTGGTTAAGTATGTGTAGAATTCGTCGAAGGTTACAGTAGTTTACTCTCTGAACAGGTGTAGCATAGGCATGAGGAGAATGCAGTACATGCCTCTCTGCCTCTTACATATAGTCAGATGGGAAATCATTAATGATTTTTAATTTATTTTTTATACAACTTCCTAAGTAGAAATAAAGAGCCTGATTCAAAGAACACTTTTTTTCTTTTCAAAAAGAGAGAAATTTAATTTTCTAATTATTTTTTGTTCAAAACATCATATTTTTAATAGAGCCAGCCACATGACTGATCAGCTAATTAAGGCAAAAAATTGTTTTTTAACTGTGAAAGTACATGAAAAAAACTTATAAATTGTCTAAACAGAAGTTATTTTTGATTGTTGTATACTCAAAGCATTTTTGGGAGTTGACTCTTGCTTTTCTCCTAAGAACAGTTCATTTGTCCTTTTATTTTTTTTTTGGTCCATTAATGCTTCTTCATAGTATGAAACTTGCTTCTTTCCCCACTGTCACTGACCTTGAGCTGGTGGAACAGTTAGGCTGCAATACAACCTAACATTTCTGTTTTGTTGGTTATGAGTTTTGAATTATGTAAAAAATGCCAGATAAAATTATTAACCCCCCCTTTTATGGAGATCCAAAGGTATTTTGTTGAGGGAAAACAAATAATACTTGCTAGATCTTTAAGAACAGAAAAGAGGGGAAAGATCTAAGGAGTTAGGAATCCTGCTCACTACTCAGTGTTTGCTTGTGATGCTGACTCATCCTTTTCCATTTCCTCTGAAAAAGTAGTTAACTGGGAAGTTGCCCTTACCCTTTCACCTACTCGTGTCTTTCTCTGTCTTTTCTCCTGTCTGTTCATCGGTTTTCTACTTGATACTTGGTAAATTGTGGATGTTTGCAAGCCTTAGAGTTAAGGCATTTTGGTGAGGTGGCTGAGGGTGTTCACGTAAATTGTCCATATTTTTAAAGTGTGGAGTTTTGTGGGAGTTTTGTCCAGTAAAAATGACCTTTCTCCACTGGAGATGAGAAGAAGCATTTTCAGTGGCACTCTGATCTGGAAACCTCAGAGGTTTTAGTACTAACTGTGGGAGCTGGGATTCTGCTGAAGGTGAACAAAAAGCCCAGCAGATGAGTGGTGACACCTTACTCTTACACACCAGAAAAAGCAATATTGCTTCTGGGATAATGAAGATGTGTGAAAAAATTCCCTGATTATTTTTACCAGGGGATCTAGGAAGGAGAGTGCTTCTTCACTCTATTACTTATTCTGGACTTATATAGTCTGCTTCTGCACAAAGCCCTCAAAATAATTTGCAGAAGGGCTGATAATGACCTATTTCTGCTTGGAAAAAAGGATTAGAAATTCTGGACTGAGAGATTTAAGTGATGTCCTGGCAATATCTTTTTACTGTTCTGTAAACACATTAAAAGATAGTTGAAGCCCTAGCACAGTCAAGGTGTATCTACAGATTTAAGTTAGAAATGTTTTCTGCAGGATTTTAATATTTTATCCAGTAAATGGTCAAAAAATCCCCTTCCTTTGTGCTTAAAGAAGAAAATTGTAGTAAATTTAAAGAAGACTTGCCCAGGAGTGGAGCAAGCTTAAATGTCTGATTTACAGGTCTGTTTCTGTTTTGTGCCTCAAGATAGAATTACATATGCTTCTGATGCTCCTGAAATTTAAGGTGAAGTTTCCAACCTCCATTTACTGCCTGAAATGTTTGGGTTTTTTTCCTTTCTTAGGAGGCTTCTGAGCTGTCCTCTCTGAAACCCCAGTTGTCCAAGCTGGGTGTCCCTCTCTATGCTGTTGTGAAAGAGAAGATAGGGAATGAAGTGGAGGATTTTCAGCATTACTTCAAAGGAGAAATCTTTCTAGATGAAAAGGTATAGTGAAGTTCTCTTTTTGTTTAAAAAGAAGCTTATGAATGTCCTCTTTGAAGAGCTTGGACAGACAGAACGTGGTCTGAACTAAAAAGGATTTAGTGGAATTGTAGCTTAAGAAGTTAATTAGCTCTATATATACACACGCATTTCTATATTATATAATTAGCCATATATATACATTTCTACATATATACACATACATCCTGCTTAGCTTACAGGGTATTCTGTAGCTATGCACTGATAACATGTTGTTGCAGGGCTATTCCTCCCCTCCCCTTTAACAGGTAAACAATATGGCCTATTAATGTTCATTCCCTTCTTCTACTGGCTGTGTGACTTGCTGATGTTTATGATGTTTATGATCTTCAATCAAGATGTGAAGGTGACAGTCATAATTAATTTATGATGTATGGGCCAAATTGCAGTGATGTGGTTTGTCCCAGTATACTGGCACATGCTGTATTGCCAGTCTCATGCCCTACAAAACCATGGACCTGCTTATTACTCTTTAACCCAGGAGACTTATTTAGAAATCATTTGGCTTCTGAATGCAAAAGAATACGTAATGCTCACAATCAACTAGAAGATACATATGTATCTTTATTTTTCCTCCCTGTTCTGCCTGTGTAAAAGACTTGGGCTTATTTAAGAAAAAAGAGAAATCAACCTTCCTTCAAAAAAAAAAAAACCAAACCAAACCAAAACCAACCAAACAACAAAACCAAACAAATCCAAAATAGATGGCTGATAAAGTTTCAGGACTTGACACCACTGCTGTGTCTTTACCAGCATTTTCACTGCCATACTTCGAAAATAAAAAATACTTACCACAAAGCGCCCTTGTTGTCAGCAATAGGGATGTAGATATAAGTGAGGCTTAAATGCCTGTGGAGCAACTTAAAATCCACGTGAGTAACAGCAGTACCACCAGCTGGCTGTGTGGAGGGAGGTGGTCAGGTAGCCCTTTAAAGAGGGTAGTTCATGTACAATTTATTTTTAGCTCTCCCTGGTTAGCTTTCATGTGTTACAACCTTTCTTGGAGACAAGATCAGTTGGTTTCCTGAATTTCATTTGGGAGGAAAAGCCCTTTTCACTTTGTTTGCTGAGAATTGTGGTTTCCCTGCAGAAAAGCTTCTATGGTCCACGCAGGCGAAAAATGATGTTGTCGGGATTCTTCCGCTTTGGCGTCTGGCAGAACTTCTATCGTGCTTGGAAAAGTGGATATAGTGGTAACCTGGAAGGAGAAGGATTCACCCTGGGTGGAGTATATGTGATTGGAGCAGGAAGACAGGTACTGCAGGCCTTCTAGGAGTTTTTTATGTTTCTTGTGAGACCAAAAGTTTATTTTGTGGAGTTGAGTTGCTGGTCATATATCTCCCATGGGGAGTATAGTATATGAATTTCTCTCTTGTGTCTTTGCCTAGGGTGTTTTACTGGAGCATCGTGAGAAAGAATTTGGAGACAAAGTCAGCCTTCCATCTGTCCTTGAAGCTGCTGAGAAGATAAAATCACAAGCTTCATAAGTGGAATAATAGTTGCATGTTTCTGATCACAGCTTGAAATGTAGAATGCATCTGTTTCTTGAATGGGCAGTTTAATCGCTTTGTAGCTATTTAGTGATCAATGCAGAGGAAAGATCCTCTATTCAAACATAGAAAATTATTATAATCCTTGATATTTTTAATTGGTTTTTAGCCTTTCAGTTAGTCAGGTTTTCAACTGATCTTTTGTGTCTGACTGTATTAATGAAAGGCTGGGTCTAAAATCTGACCTAGCCTAGATGTTTTCAGTTAGAGACAGTTGGTTGAAAACCTGTCTACCTAGGGGAGAAAAGCTCTGCTGAGGCTGGAGGATAATAAAACTTAAATGAAATGCTTTTCCTTTTTGCTTTTTGATTACCATGTAAAAACATCTGTGTTTCTAGAAGACTAAATTCTGTTAGTTTAGATTACTCTCAGATTCTGCATTCAAGGCATGCCACTGTGTCATAGAATGTATGGGGTTGGAAGGGGCCTCTAAAGGTCATCTAGTCCAACCCAGTAAGTTTCTTGTTAGTCAGCTACTGGCTCTCGATATTCCAGCTCTTTGTGTAATTCCCTGCAAGGAAGACTGAAGACATCTAATGTACACATCAGAAGATACCTGGCATGAGGCCAAGTTCCTTCTTGTGTTTTAAGATTTTGAAATAAGGAAAATAATATCATAGAGTAGATTCAGTAGAGTTTCCATCCTGGCTTGAGTTCTGAAGTAGAATGGCTGGGCTGTAACTTACATATAGATGCAGTGTTACCCATGATCCATGAGAGCCAGTACCACACATAGACAAATGTATGTGCCTAGACTGAAGTATGAAGAGGACAGCATGTATTTCCCAGATATGCTGATGTTTCAAAATTGAAACAAAATTTTAACATTGCACTTAGAGAGAGTTATTGAGTGTTGCATATCCCTCATTAGCTGGTGTATATCAAAGTCTAGGTAACTAAAAAAAAAAAAAAAAAAAGGCATTCTAGAACATACTAAGCTAGCAGAAGAATAAAAGGGAAGGATTGTTTTTCCTCAAGGCAGGGGTACTTTGCACCTCTGAAACTTTGGTAATATGCTTATTTATGCTCAGTGTGCCAGTGCCTATCCATTTGTGTTGCTAAGCTTTGTGCAAAAAAAGTCATGCAGGATGACAACTATATGAAACTTAAATGCAAAAAACTCTGAAACTTTACACTGAGGCCTGTCCTTGATCTGTGTTAAATCAGTTGTGCAAGCTTTAAAGCTGCATCATTAGGGATGAAATCATGAGTTCTGGGTTTTTAAATACTTGCTCAGGGTAATTTTAAGTAAAAAATATTTGTGGTCTTCAGAGCCTTTTTGCCACAGTTCCCTGAAGCAACACTAGCAGTGAAGATTTTGACTAATTCATATGTTCAACAAGAAGCTTCATTTGAAAACTAAATTGAAATTGTACCCATGTATAATGCTGTCAGCTGAAATTTGACTGTTTTGGGGGGATGGAGGAAGGAACGGGCATTTAGAGAGTAGAGCAGAAAGTAAAGCAAACTGACTACACGATACAGACTTTATCTATAAAGGCTGTCATGGAAAGTCACGAAAAGGCATGTGAAAGGCACAGAGACATGTTTTTTCTCTGCATGTTCTGAGCTGCCTAGGTAAGTATGCCCAGAAGATGGAATCAAAAAGCTGTTGGGTGCTCAAAGACATGAAGTGACTGATGTGGTGGACTCCTGAATAGCATCCAGAGCAGCCAGACAGCTGCTGAGGGTTTGCTCCATGAAATAAGGAATTGTGTTTGAGGGCTTTTCGTCCTGGGTTTTGCCACTGAAGGGAAGTACCTGTATTATGAGTGCTCCCATGACACAAGGCACCTAAAATTTCCTCTACAAACTTGCAAAGTTCAAAGCATTGTGGAAGTGGCCACTTGTCTGCAGTAGGCGTATAGTTACTTTGGAGTACAAGTGGTAGGAAACACCAAAGTCCTAGAAGAAACGGGTGTGAGGTTTCTTACAGCTGCAAGATGCTACTAATAACAAAGATCTTAAAATAGGAGGTGAATTCTGGATCACTGGCTGCTGCAGACTTTTGAGTTTTCTTTCCAGTGGGAACTGGAAAGCTTTGCCATTTTCGGAGAATAGATCTTACAGAGACAGGCGAAAGAAGGTACTGATATTAAACCAGCATTTAAGGCCTTGTCCCAAGGGCTGTTTATGCCTTTCACATAAACTTGAAATGTGAATGGCATGAACAGTGCTTGGAGAATGGGTTGGAAGACAGATAAATTCCAAGAAATTTTAAACAAAGTGAAGTGCCTTTAGAACCTGCTAAATCTGGAGAGGGTCTGCTTATGATTTTGTGGATGTGCAGTTGAATTCCACCCACCCTGACAGAGGTGGCTGTGGTTCTTTCAGCTTGGGACTACAGGAAGTCCTAGATGATGACAAAGATGCCATCCTGTTGCAGCTCTGCTATTAGCCCACCCAAAGAGGCTGACTATGTTTTGTGATCTGGAAACAAGCAAGAAGTCATCATGTCCAGCTTTTAGAATGTTTAGGTGAAGTATAATGATGTGAAACATACAAATCAGTAATGCTACAACATGATACAATGTTCTTTTAGTGTAGAAATATTTTTAAAAGACTCATGAAGTCCTTTTGATAGTGTTTATTGAAATACTCTTGGAGACTGAAAGTTCTCTGCTCTCTCAGCTTCTGCAAAGGCCTATACACGGTAACCACATCAGACTTAGGTTTGAGAAAGTGTTTTCCTACTTTTTATAGTGATAGTTCCTATAAACAGCTAGTGAGACAGTGTACTTGATTTCAAAGTCATGTAACCTTACCTACATTTCAGAGTTTTGAAACCCTGTCTTTCAGAGATCAAGTCAAAATTTGGAACCACAAGAAGTCTAAATGATTGATAAATCTAATTATTTTTTTTGATCAAACCTTGGGATTATCTGGAGTTGACTCATCCTTCCTCAGCTCCATGTTGACAAAATATAAATGGAGAAAATAGAAAACACATGGTGTGTAAGAGGTAGAAACAGTTAATAGGAATTGGAAATGGGCACTCTCAAAGAAATAATGACAGCCAAATAGTAAAGGAAGAACAAATTAATTCTAAATGAATTTACAGTGCTAGAGACTGCAAGGTCTGACTCTCTGGTTTAAAAAAAAAAAAAAAAAAAGTTTTCTTTCTTAAATATAGGATGTTCCTTGAAAAAAATGTCGATTTTGGTGTACCAACAGCTACCTCTGCTGGCTCAGTTCCTTAAATGCATTTAATGTTTTGATTCTTTTTTTTCTTTCATAACGTACAAAAATTCTAAAGTACTTCTCAGTGCAACACATCACATCACATGGCACTTCAACACTCAGCTAGATACTGGAAACTAATAATTGAAAGGTTTTCTTATTCTGGATATAAAAAAATCTGGATATAAGAATATTTATTCTTATTTTCCCTGTAGTAATTTCTCTTCAATCAACATTCCTTTTTTTGTAAGCCTGTTCATCTTTTTTCAGTACAAAACCAGGGTTAATTTAAATAAATAAATAAATAAATTCTTAGGTTAGGTGTCATACAGGAAGGTGCTTTTTAATGGAACTTTTAAAAATACTGATAACATTTTCAATCTGCAGTGTTTTTTTAAAGACCCATGTTTCTCATGGTCTGCCTCAGAGATTTATTTTCTGTTTATTTTCTGTTCTGCATTTGTGAGTTATCCACTCCCAGGGCTGTGACCCTGCCTGCAGTCGGTGCCACTTGCCAATGTCCCCAAAGAGAAGGGACTGCCCAGGGATCCCTGCCCTGCCATTTTCTGATGCATTTCCCGTACTGCACTCGGAGAGAAAGGAAGAACAAATTTCTTTTTCTCCGTGAACTGCTGGACGTCACTGCTACTCCAGCCAAAATGAAAGATGTTTTTTTTTTCTGCAGTAAAAGATTTGCATAACAAAGGTGCCAGGAAAAGCCCACTGTGGGTTCCTATTAGGCTAGAAGAGATACGTTAGAAAAGACTACTCCCGTGATCATTCTACTTGGGTGGACTTTTTCCTTTTTAAAATAAGAAACTTAAAAGAAGGATAGACTGTATTGACTGACACAGTCTCTTGCATATAGATATTTCTAAGTGACTGTGGAGGAAATAAATTAACAGACTCACTGTAACCATTATTAATTCCTTATGTTTTAGTAATATTAATTTGAGATATGCCATCATGTAAGTGGCTTCCTTTATCCATCAGTGGCCGATTTGGCGGCGTCGGAGGGGACATCTGCAATAGCCACTTGGTAACAGTAGAGGGAGCCGGAGGAAAACGCTGTGGAAACATGCTGAATAAAGTTAGATCACTGATTCAGTCTAATCCGCTCTAACTTTATTGGATATTCGAATAGTTCCATCCAAATTTATTCTTCTTCTAATTGATAGCATAAATGTTATAAAGGTTTTCCCTAAGATATTTCTACTTTCTGTTTTAGGTCCAGCTACCAATTCCTTTGTATTTAAAGATTAAATTTTCTCAGTAGCTTCTGTGAGCTTTTTTTCCTGTACACCCCTCTCTCTCTCTCAACCTCATAATGATCAAAACCACATGATAACTCCAACTTTAACTCTGATTTCCAGAAAATTCCCTGCCTAAGTAGAAATTTCTTCTACTGCAAAGTTGTGTTTGATGATAACGATAAAGCTGAGCAGATATAAAAATCGGCGAATAGCTCCAGTCATGTAATTTTCCACCAGTTACTCCTCATAATGGAACATTAATTAATTTCAGGAAATGTTTTGTAGTGATCAGAAGAATCAGTAGTTGCAAACCATATATAAGCATTGCTCTACTCAAGTTCACTAAAAAGATCAGATTTTCCCTTTTCATGCCTGCAGTATTATTAGACTCTTTTAAAGTGCTGAAGAAACTGACTTTTAAGAGTCTTCTGATTTGCCCTAGCAATTTTAGCTAACGTTTCTGTCATGGATGAGATTTTTACCCTAATTTTCTTGGCAATACAG